AAATTGATATTTCGTGTTATTTTAGGTTATTTTTAGTGATTTTCACGTTTTTTGTATTATTTTTGGGCTGAACATTCGCTTATTTGAAGTCCAATTCGTGGTTATTAGGTTTAGGACTTAGGGTGTTAGGTTCTTATTTTGATTAGGATTTATTTTCTCTATTTAAAAGGCTTGTAACCCTAATGGGGGGAAGGCTATTGAATCTGAGTTTTTGAGAGACTTTTCTCTTTGGTTCATTTTAGAACTTTACAGAATTTATCAAGATTATTCTTGTGGCGTTCTAACCTGACTTATCATTCTCATTCTTAATCATTCGAGGCTGTGGCATCAACCAATTTTATACCTCTGGTTCTTGTTGTGTCATAGACAACGGATCAAGGTTTTTTTACCTTTGGTTCTTGTTGCGACATAAACAACGGGTCTGTCATAACCCAATTTTTCATTCAACTTATTTAAGCTTTTCATATAAAAAGAAAAAACAAAAAATATGAAAATTAATTAAAAAAAATCAAAAAAAAAATCAAAAATTATGAAAATATGACAATCTCTCTTTTCTTTAACTAATGCATCTTCATTTTTCTTTCAGGTGCAAAAAGGGGAAATTCAAGAAGCCAATGGAAAAGGAAATCAAGACAAGGGACTCAATTGAAGAAATCAAAAGGTGGAGGGGTGAAGTTCATCAAAATGAATTTACAATTCCAACCCAATTACCTAAAAACCCAAACCCAAAACCCATCAAAACCCAAAACCAAACTCAAATCCAATTACCCAAAACCCAAATACCAAACCCAAAACCCAAAACCCATTTAAGCCAAAACCCAAAAAAAAAAAGGGGGAAATAAAAGAAATTGGATCTGGAAACTTCTTCCCCAATCACACACCCGAATCTTGCCCTGCTCCAAGCCCCTTTGCTCGCCTGCGCCCCTGCACTGCCGCGCCCCTCCACACACCGCGAATCAGCCCTGCTCAGCGCCCCCTGCTCTGCACCGATCCTGCTCTGCGCCCTCGCCTGCACCGAACCAGCCCTTGCCGCCTGCTAC